ATTTTCCTTCCCTGCCTACCCGGGAGGAAGAGAGACCTTGCTGGCCGTGTGAACTTACTTTTAAAATCCCCTCCCCATATTGCTGAATTTAACTAGATAGCTCAGTAGAAATGCGGTCTTTTCTCCATTAACTGAGCGGAGAAGTCGCTCCACACACGATCCTTCTCCATCCGAGATAATGTTAATTCAGAGGATGCTCAGGAGACGCTGTCCCCCACTTACGAACAAAAGCACTGGAGGATCAAGCCGAGATGCTCCTACCCCCACCCATGGTTCACTCAGCAGATGAGACTCACAGGAGGCGATTTCTTTTCCTCTCTACCGTACGTTCCCCTTTCCCCCGCAATCATACAAGGTTAACTCAACAGAGGAGTCTCAATCCAAATGGGATTGCATTTAAAAAAAAAAAGAAGGGGGAGTAAAAAAATATCAGAAATAGGGAAATAAAAGAGAAAAAGCAGCAGGCTGATTACGAGGTGTCAAAACTGCCAGGAGCAAGAAGGTGATAGCAATCAGGGGTGAGAAGAGTGCGCCATTCGTGCGGGGCAGCTAATTATCCGTCTCATTTGAGAAGAGCAGCATTCGAGGCAGCAGCGTTCGCCTGCGCGCGGAGGAGAGGGGAGGTGTTAAAACAATGGAGCCGGGCTTGCGAGCGCTGCTGCATGCTAATCAGCCCGGCCTCCTTCCTTCCTTCCTTCCTTCCTTCTTTCCTTCCTTCTCTCCCTCCGCCTGCCTACCGCGATCCCTCCTTTTCCCCGACCTCATGGCAAGCCCAACGCAATCGGGCCTCTTCGCAGCAGGCAGCACCGCACCCGGCAGAGGCGGTAACCCAGGGAGTCCCGGTGGGCCCGTGGCGGGGCAGGCAGCGCCGGGGGGATCTGGCAGGTTGGCGGGTAGCAGTGGTGTGTTTCAGACCTCGTCCTCGGTGCCTAGGCTGCCAGGAGTCTGTCAATATGCGTCCCCACAAGAGGCAGAGGCGAGGAGCTCTTCGTACAAGTCCTGTGGGTTCTTTATGTTGACATCCTGGCTCCCTCTTCCTCTGAAGAGGACCCACGATAGCACGCACGCAGCAGTGTTGCCTAGTAAGAGACAACCTACCGCCAAAGCCCCAGACCAGACCCACAAAGGTGAGGAAGGTGCAGGGCTATGCCAATTACTGATGAACTTCGTTGCCCTCTTGGCTCTGCACGGTCACTAGAGTCCAGAATGCTAAACATGCTGTAAGTAAGTCGTATGGCCTCTCTGATTGCTTGTCCTTGCAAGCCTGAATGACCACACATACCCAGTTTGGGCCGTGAGAGGAGTTACAAAAAGAGCTGGCCTTCCCTCGGCCCAGGAACAACCGTTCCCGGTTTTAGAATGTGACGGGGTCTGCAGAGAGAGGATAAATGCTTTGCATGGGATCACTTTAGCCCTAGCTTTTCCAGAAAGTCCACGCTCTGTGGGACTCGCAGGGCAAACCCTGGCACTGAAGCGTTAGTAACCCAGCTACAGCAAGTGCTCCGCTCTGCCAGGAGAAGCAGAGGAATGAGCGTTGGAATGTTTACTCTCCAATATTTCTCAGTTTCCATTCCATCCTGCCCTGAAAGATTTCTGATTACTATACACTTCAAAATAGTATTTATTACAGATTTACATAATCTGTATGTTTTATGTTAAGGGAATAACACATTGATGCCGTACTACTGAATGGAGTTAATCTAAACTATGTAGTGTCTGCTATATCAGAGTTCCAACTAAAACATATCCTTGTTTCCTGACACTGACAAGTAACACATATCCAGAAGGACACTGCCCGGCTCATTAGGTAAGCTGCCAGGTGAAGCCATTCCTCGACTCCCGAACCTTCACTGGGTTGTGGATCAGCACTCAGCAAAATTAAATTATATGTGTCTCCACATAATCTCCCATTTAATTTAACAAGTGTTATTTTAAATAGCAGGTGCCTGTTTTACAACAGGATTCATACGGGTAAGCAAACACGGAAAGGGATTAAACTGTTTTAGGCCTGAGGTAAGCTACATGATAACTCAGGTTGAACACTATTTTTAAAAGATCTGAGTGCGTGTATGGCTAGGCAGTAGTAATAGCGTTTAAATTTTATTATTCTAAGTCTGTCGTGAGTGTACTTGATGAAATTGTCCATGAGCATACAGATGGTGAGATTTTCATGCTTCTGTGGCATACTGACATCTCAGGCTGTAAAAATAAATTCCCAGATCACAGCAATACCTAAGAAGCAGAAAAATGCAGTCCACCTTCATCTTCAACAGTCAAATGCTTTATATTTTAAGAAATTTTATAATACTAGATACACAAGTTTGTGCCAATCAGGAATAGTGATTTAACAGATTTATGATAAAGCAAAATTCACTGTAACCTCGGTGCCGTTTTTTACAAAGATTATATTTTTCGTGCTTCTGAATTTACATATATGAGGGATGGAGATAAAAAATGTGCCTTTGCGAATATCTGTAATATTTTTTTT